TATTTTTTTTTATTGGATTTATATCCTGCTTTGGGGCCAATAGATAGCACTTACAGTAGCTATTGGGTAACTAGTAAAGAAACAAATGCAAAGTTATGCAAAGTTCTGTTTCCAAGAAACAATTTGTCAGGAGTCTGTATGCTTCTTTCTGTGGGATGAAGGGATACCAAATTAAACTATTAATTTTTCCTGTAATGTTTGAATAGCATCTTTTATATTTAAGATTGTGAAGTCCATTATAATGCTTTCTTGATGCTTCTCTGGCATTAAACACTTTAAAAATATTTACAAGAAAATAAGCTGTGTCAATTTCAGGATAATTTAAATTCTGAGTAGACATGTAAAACCTTGTGTTGTCCATCATTGCTTCATTTACATTTGTTTCCTGGGCTCTAATAGATTTTGATCTTTGAGACTTCACAGCTAAGAAAGTTCAAGGACACAGTGCCGTATGAAAGAGTTTTTGCCTAGCAGCAGTTGGAAATTTTTGCAAGTATTGTGGCATGCCATTAATGTGTTGTAGGATCCCTGAGTATTCATAGAATAAGGTATCTCCTGATGCTTTGATAATGCTCAACAGAAATAGTAAGAAAACAGGCCTCAGACTTATGTTATCATGAAATATTCCTACATATTTTTCTATACAGTCTTAATGAAACTCTTTATTTTAATAAATTTTAGATTCTCCTTCTGAAATTGGGGGAAGCTTATTGAAGAGGTCCATATTGAGAAGATTGGTATTTTAGACCAAGCAATGTTTTGGGGAATTTGTCTATGACTTCCTGTGCAAATGGTTTTTGGGTTATATCTGAACCTACTGCGTGCTTGCATAGCACCACACAAAATATACAGTTATTAAAGAACAGGTTTTCAGACTAGTTGGCCATTGGTTGTATTCACTGAAGTCTGTGGAGATGAAGTCCAACACATACAGTGGGCATCAGATTAGAAATGACTTTTTTTTATTACCGTACATCTTACTTCTGCCTTATTTTTGTTCAAAAAAAAAAAAATAGTGAGAAAGTATATCCTGGTAACTGTCCTCAGAGAATGTGAAATATCCTTTATCGCTGATGGATCCTGTGGTCATTTCAGCAATCAAACTTTTAAAGTTTGTTTCTTTTGTTCCTTGGCTGGCTTGGTCAGCCATGTGTTTGCTTCTCTTCAATTTAAACAATGCTCTGGATTTTTTAAAAAACGACAGACTTTCAAAGAGTATTCATTTTCTGCTTCTGTCATCATGATTCAGTGCCAGAAAACTGGAAAATTTATTCAAGGAGAAAGCAGGAAGTATATGGCTTGCAGTGTATACAGGTTGAGTAATATCTCTGCAGATTACTGGTGGCTGGATTGTATGAATATTTATTATGCACTGTGGCTCTTTGATCGCTAATAGTAGTTTGTAAAGCTGTCTGCCTCTTCTAGGATTTGTAAAAAAAGCATCTATTGTTGGTTCTGTGCTTAAAAACTTTTTAATGATAAAGAGGAGGATTTTTAATTTAAAAAATAAATGTGGATTGGCTGAGAAATTCTACTACTGCAGAAGTTTGACTTAATTGTGAGCTTTTTTGTTTCTTTTGGTAGTTTTTAGGAGAGTTAACCAAAATTATGTATAGATTACTTTCTTTTAATTTTCATAGTCACACGCTTTTTATTAAAAAGTGGCTAAAACACAAAGTTTTTTATGTTCTACATGGGGCTGCCCTTGAAGAGTTTCCAGAAGCTTCAGCTGGTGCAAAATGCAGTGGTGTGGGCAGTTACATGTGCTTCTAGAACAACGCATGTGATATCTCTGCTCCGTGAGCTGCATTGGTTGCCAGCCTGCTTCTGGGTCCAATTCACGGTGCTGGTTTTGACCTTCAAAGCCCTTCGTGACATGGGGCTGGGTTATTTGAGGGACCGCCTCTCCCGGATTACATCTGCCCGTCCCATCAGATCCGGCAAGAGAAGCATGCTGCAGTTCCCATCTGTCAGGGAACTATACTTGGTGGGCCCAAGGAGGCGGGCCTTCTCTGCCATGGTGCTTGCCTTATGGGACATTCCCCCCCCCCAAAGTGAGGTCAGCTCCATCCCTACTTATTTTCCAGAAGTCCCTCAAAACCTGGCTATGTCATCAGGCCTGGAGGTCTCAGGGACTGGTGAGATCTTCAGGTGGCTTCCTTACTGATCAAATCTCTTGTTTGTGTATATGTGTGTATGTTTTAACTTTTTAATATGACTGTTAATTGTTTAACAGCATGTTAATTGTTTTATATTTTTTGCTGTACGCTGCCCAGAGTCACTTCTTGTGAGACAGGCAGCCATATAAATTTAATAAGTAAGTAACTAAAGTGGCACTTTGTAGGACTGATTGTTATACCAGCAATGTTTCGACTGTAACTGTAACAATTACTAGTGAAAAGGTGGTAAATATTTACTGTTTACATTTGTGTGTGTTATATCTATATTGCAGCACAGTCCACTTGCTAACAATAATTTGTAAAGGTCTTAATGATCTACTTGATGGACAAATGGACTTGAATTGGTTTCTAATGGTGTCATAAATTGAGGGATGTTTCACTTTGTTTTTAAAATGGGTTATGATCACATTTACAAATGTGTGAATATATTGTAGAAGAATTATCTTTAGCATGGAAGAATTGGTCACATTTCTGGTTGAGTATACACTGTGGCCAAGGTTCATCTGCCTATGTAGTGTATGACTTTAGAAGAGACTCCACAATGTGTATGACTTTGAATGTGTTTGTGCCCCTTATTTCTTGTCCAAATGGTATTGAAGGTCATAAAGCTGTTTATAAGGGCTGGGTTATGTGTGGTAAGTTTGATATTATGTCAAACTTTAGGTCTTGACACCAGTTGGGCAGAACTAGGCAAGGTGAGTAGGACAATGATTAGTAATGTTATCTCCCTCTTCATATCATAGCCACTCCATCTTGCTGGGACTAAGTCTTTCTGTTTCCAGGTTCTGAGAGAGATCCTCAGCTACATCTCCTTGTTTAGCCTAGAGAGAGATATAGGACTCCATCCATGAAATTCATCATAGCGACCCAATAACCAGTCTTCTACTCCACTGTTTCCTAACAGGGTGCAAGTCACCTTTGACAAGGCTGCTTGATTCCTGGTTGCATAAGCAGGGAGACGTATTAATGCTTCATGTTTTTACTGTCACTGCCTAGGATTAAACCTGAGCTCATAGCTGTGTTTGTTGTTTGCCAGTGTCATTCCAAGTATGTCTTCTGCCACTTCATTTTCTGGAGTTCCTTAGTATACTAAAGGAGCCCCTTGGATCAGTGCACAGGGAAAGAGCCTCAGGGCAACTACCTCCATATTCCAGAGGTTGGCTAGGGCCTCAGCAGAACTGCCCCCCAGGGCCTCAAGAACATTCATATCATAATGTGGTTGAATTATTGTAACAAAATCTACTTGAGGCTGCTTCTGAAGCTACAGCTGGTACAGAATCAAGTGGCCAGACTTCTAAAAGGGGAAACCCCACATTGCACAGTAGCTACCATTCCACATGGGTTACCAAAAAGCTTCCAGGTCCAATTCAAAGTGCTGATTATTGCCTTTAAAGGCTCATACAGCATGGCAGTGGGATATATAAGGAGCCATCTAATCCAATTTCAGTCTACCCATCCTGTGAGGACTTCTAGAGAAGGCCTGCTCAAAATCCCGCCTGGCATTATATGACAGACGTGTGGGCCTGGAGGGACATCCCTGCGGTAGCCCTCTCATTATGAGATCCCTTTCTGGCATTTGAGAAGTTCAAAATCTTCTGTTTAAAACAGGCTTTATTCATTCATTGATTTGATTTGATTTAGGCATTGCCCAACTCTAAGATGACTCTGGGTGGCCACCCAAAAAGATCAAAGCATAATACAAAATAAATAAATAATGAGATCTGGCTACATAAGACAGTGATATATAAAAAACATATCCAACAAGGAGTTTTATACACTCTATCCCCTGGGAGAACAGCGAAGTCTTTAAGCCTTCCAGAACATCATCAGGTTGGGAGACATATGGATCTCAGGATGGATCTCATTCCAGAGGGCAGGTGCTGCGACAGAGGAGGCATACTTCTTGGATCCTGATAGATGGAACTGTTTAATGGAAGACTCAAACCGACTTGGGCAGAAACCATGGGAGATAGGCTGTCTTTCAAATAATCTGGTTCTATGCCAGGTAGGCCTTTATGGGTAATAACAACCATACCTGGAGGCATACTGGCAACCAGTGCAGCTTGCAAAAAAGAGGTGTGAAGCGGGCAAACCAAGGCATGCCCATCATTGCCTGTACTGCTGCATTCTGGACTATTTGAAGCTTCTGAGTGGTCTTCAAGGACAGCTTTATGTACAGTGTGTTTCAGTCATTGAATCTTGAGGTGGCTAGGATTTGAGTGACTGTCTGTAGGGCTTGCTGATCCAGGAAGAGGGGCAACTGGCGCACCAGATAGAGCTGTGTGAAGGCCTTCTTGTCCACTCATTGAATAGGAGCTGAGAGTCCAAGAAGACCCCCAGATTGTATACCACTCTTGAATGGGGAAGTGTGGCCCCATCCAAGATCAAAGATAGAAAATTGCCAGGTCTAGGGGGCCCTAATATCCACAGCCATTTGGTCTTGGTCACAGCCTTCAGGTATGGTGACAGGACCTCAACATTTTGGTGCCTAGGCTTTGTTGGTGGTGGTGGTGGGAGGATTGTTTGTTTTACTCTAATTGGGTTTTAATTGTATTAGTTGAGGCATTAGGACGATCCTTTTATATTGATTTATATTACTATAAATGGTCCAGAATCTTTGGATTGGGTGGTACAGAATTTCTTAAAATAAATGATTGATTAAATAAATAAATATTCTATGCCCCATTGCCAACATTTTTATTAATTTCAAATTGTACACTTTGTCAAGAATCTGCTGCAAAGCTGCAACAATATTCAGTGATGAGGCTGCCTAAATCAGGTGTTTTTTACAAATCCAGTTTTTATTTCCCTCTTTTCTAGAAGCCTGCTCAAAATGCAAAGTGAGAACCTGCAACCAGTAAATTACTATGTCGGACTTGATGTTGGCACAGCAAGTGTCCGTGCGGCTTTGGTAGACCAGTTTGGCACGGTCGTGGCTTATGCAGACCAGCCAATTCAAATTTGGGCACCACAACCTGACTATTATGAACAATCCTCTGATGACATCTGGGCAGCTTGTTGTATAGTCACAAAGGTATGGGCATAGTATGGATGAATGACTATCGTATGCTACATGCTCTGAGAAGGCTTATCTAATTAGCTGAGAGAAGTTGGTTGTCTCTGAAAATGGTTGCAATGTGGCATTCACCCAGACATGCATGATTTTAGAAGGTCAGCCATCTCTTTACTGCTAAGTTCACAAAATTTTGGCTTCTTTGTTCCATGTTTGGCTGCATTGTTCAATTTAAAGACTGACAGCAGCTTCTGACAAAATGTGTCTTATGTCAATCACAGCTGCATTCTTTCTCTCTCTTTTTCTGTATCAAATCTGTTCCCTGTGTTGCTAGCAGGGTTTTAATTGTATCCCTTCTAATATATATAACAAAGTTCTACTAAAAAAAGTGCAGCTGCTTTTGGACTAGATCTCCACTTACTGAGCAATTAGTTCATTAATTTATTTGCAGGGTGGGTTTATGAAGAACTTTAGCCTTTTTCCAACTCACTGCCGTTTTGAATTGAAGTTATATTTTTTTCACCCCCAAAAAGCACTCAGAAAAAATACCAATTTCTTCTAGTAATTTTTTAAAACAAGTGATTCTGTATGTCTGAGCATGTGTTCAGATAAAGGCATACATAAATTTTCCTCAATATGATTAAGAGGCATATGTATATTTATATTTTGTAACTGCATATACATTGTAATGGAAGACCAAACTGTAAATTGTATAATGAATGCAAGATAAAAGGTTATTACTCTGTTCTAGCTGCTTTGCTTTGTTAGTTAATCAAGATATGCCTATACGGATATTATGAGCTTAAGTGGTAATGGACATCAGGGACAGTGGGGTGTTTTAGTCCTCTAAAAAAGCTGTGGACTCAAATCAGCCAATGTTCTGAGGTTGGCTTTTTAAATATGCATGAGGTGCTTGGTAATTTGTAGATGGACAGTTCATTGTTCTCTTGTTATTGATCAGCCTTTTCAAACATTAATGAGCCATGCTATTGAGTGAGTGTCCTAAGAGGGTTGAGGCCAGAACAATTGCTATGTGAATAATGAAATAGGAATAGAAAGCTTCTCTTCGTCACACATTTTCTCTCTGTTCCCTTTTCCTATTTAACTTGAAGATTACCAGAGTGTTATAACAATATATTTAATCTGAATTACAAAGTATATGAAAAGTAAGAGTGATTCTGACACTGATAAGAAGAAAATTTTCACTGGCACTGATCTTTGTTTTTTTATTTGTCATTTATTTGGGGGGGGGGGGAAATGGCTTCTTAACACTCAGAGTTGATAATCCAGGTGCCAATTTCCTTCATCCTTCTCCTTCATAGAGCACCTCTCTTATGTCCTTTGTGTCCTCAGATTGTAACTGGTGTTTCTCCATTTTAATATGGAATATTTTTGACAGTAGTATTTTAATCTATTTAAAAATATGATATTGTATTAAAGTTAACCTTTTTGTGAGAAAATGGGCAGGGTGGCAGAATCACCTTTTCATGGCTTTCAGAGAGCTGGAGCCTTTTAAAATGTAGCTGAATGCATTTTAAGCACAGCTGAAGAGAGGCACAGATGGACCATCAGACTTGGAAGATTCTGTTAATATAGCTTATCTCAATAAAGCTTCCTTCTAGCCTTCTTGTAGAGCTGTTTCCTGATCTGGACAACCTTAAAGGGCTGACATCAATTTTGCGAGTCTGATTGTGTTTTTCTTCCCCCCTCTCTTATGTCCTAATGATTCAGGGAGGAGCCAGCCTGAATCTCTTCCTGATATTACCCAAAGCTTGAGGAATCCTTTGGCCAATTTTGTTTCCATAAGGGCTTCTGAATATTTCTCTCAAGGCCGTCTCTGGGGCTCTCTGCATCAGATAATACTGCTCAGAAAGCTTTTGTGTCTGAGACTTTGAACACTTATTGTCACTCAGATTAGGCAAAATGTTTCTTAAAATGGGTTCTGAGGATTTGGTGTTTTTTTTTGGATTCAGATCTGTTCAGTTCCACCAGCTAAACAAGTACTATATCCATGAAAGAATTAATATTAACAGATCTCTCCTCAGATGTCACATTAAACAGTTGGGAAAAAAATGAGAACACTTTTGGATGAGAGTTCACCAAAACAATGAGCTTTTTAGTAAGAAAATGTTGTTGAAGTTTTTCCTTCAACTTATCTTTTTCTGGATGTGGATTTTTGACAATCATAATAACCAACATCAAGTATTACACTGAAAGTTACACATACTATTTGTTTAATAAATTTTATTCCCATTATTGACAAAATATACCAACATCTCATGCATCCCATTACAATATATAATCAATCAGTTAAATGTAAAGGAAAATAAATATATTTATTTTATTTTAATGCTCTTTTTATTTTTCCTTTTAAGAACAGTTGTGCATGCTCTCTCACTCTCTCTCTTAACGTTTGCAGTTTTGTGGTCTTGGAATTTTTAAGAAGAATGAATTAGGCATCAATGAGTAAAGTGACCAACAGTCCAAATTCTTATATAACTATCCTAATTAGTAATTTAAATAATCATATAGTATCTGTGTTTACACTCTCTGTATGCAGTGCTGTGTATGTTCAGATTTGAGGGTGTTTTAAAATTGGACTTCAACTTTATACACTGTTAGCTGTTTTGAGTGCCTCATTGAACAGAAAAGTGAGCTATCCATTTAATAAAAATATTTTTTCTTTTACAGAAAATTACCCAAGGGATAGATATTTCCCAGATTCGAGGACTTGGCTTTGATGCTACCTGTTCCCTTGTTGTTTTGGATAGCCATTTTCATCCTTTGGCAGTCAACTCTGAAGGTAAAACCTTCAAATTACTACCAAGATTTGCAATATTAAAGTGGTAGTTTAAAAATTAATTCTGTGTAATAACAATGTAGCCAGTAGAAATTCAATTATAAATTGTGCTGGTATATAGTTATCCATTTTTCAAATAGATTTGTTTAAAATGTTTATGTTTAAGTGCACAGACTTTTCATATTTTTTTATGGAAGAAGATTTGCCATCAGGTTTTATCTAAAGTAACAAGTGAACTAGAAAGTAAAAGCGTGAATGCAAAGTGGGAATTTGGCTGAGTCAGAAAGAGGTAAAGATTTCTTTAGGGAAAGAGGGCTAAGTTGCAGGGCTACAGTAAGATGGCAAAGGAAATAGTCCTCTTTTTGATCTTGTGCATTTCTACATGGGATCTGCAACTACATTGAGACATTTTTTGACTGAGTACATTCATCCTCATCTCCTAAAAAACATAAAGTATGGATCCTGCCTTTCCATATATAATCATGTGAAAAAGTAACTACACCCCATTGAATTTTTTTACTTTTTCACTATATTTCAACATATAGATACTTGATCTTCATTTCAACAATATTGTTAGATAAAGGGAATATAATATAACAAATACAGTATCATTCACCATTTACATTTTGTAGTCCATTGGGTAATTTAAATAAACATAAAGATGAAATGAATCAACCATACATTGGCATCATTGAATTGAAATGGACTGGAATTGGACCCTTTCAGTCAGGGTTCTGTTTAGTACTCAGAGCATGAAAAACAAAGAAGGAACAGTGTTGCTTTCATAACAAGGAAGGCTATAGCTAGGATAGTACTTGGGTATAATGCAATCAGTGACTGAATAAAATCAGTTAGACTTAGTAGATAACCCTTTAATATAACAATTATCCAAACTTATGCTCCAACCACTGATGCAGAAGAAGAGGAGGCTGATGAATTTTATGATCAAATTCACTCTGAAATTGGCAGAACATGCAAGCAAGATATCCTGCTTGTGATTGGAGACTGGAAGGTCAAAGCATTAAGGAGGACTGCATGGCCTAGGAAACCAAAATGTCTTATCAATTTCTACCAATTTCTTCATTGTTAACACAGACTTCCAACAACCAGAACAACATCTATATATGTGAACATTACAAGGTGCACTACACAGAAATCAAATTGATTATATTATTGGTTCAAGGAGGTAGAAGAGCTCAGTTATAATACCAGCAATGTGGCCAGAGATTGACTATGGAACAAAATATGAACTGCTCATGTGAAAATTCCAAGTAAAGCTAAAGTGGAAGAAGAAAGCCAGCTGGTTTCCTCAAAAGGATCTTGATCATATTCCCACCATTTTCAAGGAAAATATCAGGAATGGCTTTGAAGTCCTGAACCTCATTGATAGAGAAGCAGAGGAACAGTGGAATGAACGTAAGTTGTTAAAGAGGAATGTGAAAAGAGACTGCCAGATGAAGAAACAGAAAGCAGACTGGATGTCAGAACAAATCATGGAAATTACCAAAAAGAGAAGAAAAGAGAAGCCAAAGCCAAGAAAGACAAAAATCTCAGGAAGGAACTTAACAAAGAATTTCAGAAAGCTGTTAGAAGAACAATGACATCTGTAAAGACATCAAGATAGAAACACATACACACACACACACACACAAACCCAAGCAAAGAAACAAAAACGAAACCAAGGAACGTCTTCCAAAAGATTTTCGAACTCAGATGGAGGTTCCAACCTTAAACTGATATGCTAAAGGCTGCCAATGGATAAATAGTAACTGATTCCAAGAAATACTGTACAGCAAAGATGTCAACATCCAAGATACCTTGGAAGATATGCCCTACTTACAAAAACTTCTAATACTAGAAGATGAAGTTAGATCAGAACACTGGTCATTCCTAAATCATAAGACTACAGGGTTTGATGAGATATTTACAGAAATACAGCAAGCAACAGAAAAAGAATCTATAAAAGTTTTAACTAAACTATACTATCAAATCTGGAGAATGACACAGTGGGCAAGAGATTGAAAAAGGTCAGTTTACATACCAATACCCAAGAAAGGAGACTTAACAGACCATGGAAACTATCCCACAATATCCTTCATTTGATGTGCTAGCAAAATAATGTTTAGGATCATCTAGTGCAGATTAGAAATGGAAAGGGAAATGCCAAATGTTTAAGCTGACTTTAGAAAAGAATGAGAAACATCTTCCGGGGAAGAAATGGCAAACTGAAGACGGGTCCGCTAAAAGCAGAGCCAATGACCATGGCGGAATGAAATGCCGGTGAGTAGACTGGCTCTTCATAATTCCTCTCTGGACATAGAGAGGACCTGAGATCTCCCACAAGTGCTCCAGACAGCTGCTTCTTGCAGGGAGACAGCAAGACAGTGGTCTCTAGTAGATTTAGAACTCTGGACAATGAGGAAATAGTCCTCTTTTTGCTCAAACCACGGTCAGCACCTTTAAGGACAGTGGGTTGCATACTTCCTTTTCTAATCACTTTTGGAAATTGCTTGTTAATTGCTTTTATTAGGAACCTTTGGATCAACCAGTTTTATAGCACCAAGTAAGTTTCCTTCAATCCTTGGTGAAAGAGGTTTTAAATACAAGTTTAAGGACTTAAAAAAAAAATTTCTGGAATAAACAGCAGAAGGATGATTAACATTTTGATTTTAGAAAGTTACAAATGGACTAAGGGTCCATATAAATTTGAAATAAGATTGTGGAATTATAAAACTCCTTCCCATGAGAAAATACTTTTGCTTTGAATTCTTTAAAAAAAAAAAAACATATGATGAGACTTTGAAGGTTGGGCACTAGAGGGCACTAGAAGGAACTAAAGATTACAATTAAAGGAGAAGAACACTTAAGTTTGACTTACTAATATAGAATGGAGCAAAATATTTTAACATTTGACATATTCTTGGATCAGGAGGCTCTCCAGTCAGTCACTCATGCCCTGGTCATCTCTTGGCTAGACTATTGCAGTGCGCTTTACATGGGGCTACTCTTGAAGAGTATCTGGAAGCTACAGCTGGTTCAAAATGCAGCCATGCAGATGATATTAGGTGCTCCAAGGGTGGCACATATAACACCTTTGCTGCAGGAGCTGCATTGGGTGCCAGTTTGCTTCCAGGTCCAATTCAGGGTGTTGGTTATCACCTTTAAAGC